GTTAGAAATTTTTTACTACTAACAGAGATACAAAAGTGGGCGGTAGGTATAAAAAGGTTGATACCCCCTGCTCTAGTTAATCATATAGTGATATGTATAAATTTGGGATACATAATTTAAAAGTACATTCACATTAGATACAACAGTTCAGGACCACATGTAACTGCCCCTAGTATGACATTTCAGGCAGATGTCTCTGACACATGAAGTAAAATTCCTGTTTCTGCCATGAATTGAGAATATATAGTCTATAAAACAAAGAGAGGAACAGAATGTTTGCAAGTTTCCTGTCAAAGCATGAGCTTTTGAATCTTCCTATATAATATGCAAGTCATAATGCTTCTTTCATTGCTTTAGTAATTATCAGGGAGGATAAGGAGATGTCACCCACAAATTACACAGCATACTTCATCTTTGCAAATCTTTATATTCTTAATAATACAAATTACACTACCAAATACAGTACTTGTAGTTCATACATTCAAACATCCTTTACTTTGGAATCTTCCAGAATTTTCTCTTGCCCATTGACTTGATATTATATGTAGATAGTTCTCGACTTTATAACCATTGTTCTAGCAACTGTTCAAAGTTACAATGGTTTTGAAAAAAATGACTTAAGACCACTCCTCACACTTAATGACAACCAAAGAATTCCCATGTCCACATGATCAAAATTTGAATGGTTGGCAACTGGCATGTATTTACTGTGGTTGCAGAATCCCAGGGTCATGGTGATTGCCAGCTGGCTTATGACAAGCAAAGTCTAATGCAACGAACCACGTGATTCACAGGTGCAGTGATTTGCTTAACAACTGTGGCAAAGAAGTCATAAAATTGGGTATGACTCACTTAACCACCTTGCTTAGCAACCAAAATTTTGGTTCCAATTGTGGTAAGTCAAGGACTACCTGTTATATGTCCAGATACGGGCCATTTCTTTTATAGAATTAAGGATGAAGAGCTATTGAACCCTATTTCAGATACTTCAAGTTTGAGTCAAACATCCTTACAATTGCTTCCAGAAAAGAGGAAGATTCTCTAATCCAGTGGTCTCCAACCTTGGCAACTTTAAGACCTGTGGACTTCAACTCCCAGAGTTCCTCAGCCAGCTTTGCTGGCTGAGGAACTCNAAACAGTTCTTGCAGAATGTATGGCCACAGGGTGTTGTCACAGGATGAAGGAAAAGCCTAAAAAAAGGTTGTAAATTTTAGTGAATTATCATTTAAGATGCAAATACAAACGAATCAGAAAAAAGTAACTTGAAGGATTGCAGACAAAAACTGTTACTAAAGATAATTCTCGACTTATGACCACAATTGAGCCCAAAACTCCTGCTGTTAAGTAAGACATTTGTTAAGTGAAATTGGCACTGTTTTACGACCTTAATTGCCACAGTTAAGTCAATCATTGCACTTGTTCAGTTAGTCACATGGTGTTAAGTGAATCTGGATTCCTCATTGACTTTGTCAGAATATCACAAAAGATGATCACATTAATCAGGGACGTTGCAACCAGTGTAAGTATGAGTCAGTGATCAAGCATCTGAATTTTGATCAGGTGACCATGGAGATGCTGCAACAGTCATAAGTGCGAAAAGTGGTTATAAGACACTTTTTTCAGTGTCGTCGTAATTTTGAAGTATCACTAAGCGAACTATTGTAAATCAAGGACTACCTGTATTTATTAGTAAGTTAGAGACAGGGAACATTTCAACTAGCAATTTTATTTTATTTTACTTTGTATCTTTGAATCAGTGCTGATTCCTGGAGACTGCCAGTACAAGTCCCTTCAGTTTTCTTGTTAAGAATTCAGAAATGATTTGCATTGCCCGATTTCTAGCCTGATGCCTTAATTGCTATCCCAAACTGGCTCTCCAGCAAAGACAGCCAGAAACCGGAAACTTTTATAGATGGATTAAGCCATTTTTTTTTCATTTCAAGATGAAAATAGGTGGATAGTATGCTAATATTATTTATGAGTGTCATTCTGAGGACTCCTAATACTACTAAAAAAATATCTCTGAGGCCACCCAGTCCTACAATAAGCTAGTTGTTAAGCATACATTTTAAAGAAATCAACCAAATATGGTTAGAACTTATTTCTGAAACCTCACCTTATCTTATTAAGGGATTTTGAACAAATCATGAGAATGTTTTCATAAAGAAATGATTTTAGTAGCTTCTGTGCACTGAGTTTAATCTTTAAGCTTCCTACTATATACTATCATAAAAAGACCAAAAATGTTGAAATCAGGCTGTATTACCTCAAACACAATGAGCATTCAAAGTCTGTTACATCAACCAAATTTTCTGGAACTATTCCACAAGTGGTTGAAAAGGTAGCATTCCCTTTTGGAGTTTCTAAACAAATTAAAACATGAAATAATGTGCATAACTCATAAAGTAATACGTGTGACTAAATATTTGTTTTCTTGTTTCCATCTTCACAAATAGTAGCATTTTGTTCAGAAAAAAGGCAACTTCCTTTCAGAATAAGTACCTTTCTCTGGGCCAGAAAGCAATGGTTCAGAAGATACTCTTTTTAATACATCGTCTTTGGCATCTTTTTCTACTGAATCAAGAGAATTTGCAGACTGGGCACGTTGCAAACTTCCTCCAACAGTGTCTAGTGTAACTTGCGGCTCTTCTAAGACCTATAAGAAAAGATGAAGAAGCAAAAATCAACCTCTTTTCTACATTTTTGATAATGAAATAATAACTAATATTCCATTAGCAGATTCAATTTTCAGTATTCTATCTTTATTTCTTGAATATATGTACTGACCATTTCAATTAACTGACACTGAACTTTCGTTAATCAGCCTTAAAACGTTTTCAAGAAACACATAAATGGAACACAAATCTAAAACCGGTTCCAGTGATCTTCATAATTATTTTACTGGAAAATATTTACTTACTGACACTGGGGTGAGCTGTAAGCAATCATAAGACTCTTCCATTTCAAAGGCAGAGCTTTGTTTAAGTTGTTTACTTCGAACATATGAAGTATTTAAAGCAGATTCTTTCAATGTCTCACTAATGTTTTCTGGTGACAGCAAATTACGCAGAATCTATAACATTGACATTAAGGAATAAAATATAACAATTATTGCATTTCATAAGTAACACAAATATATTGTACCAATATTTAGACATTAAATAGCTCATAATTCTCCACAATCTGAAAGACGTCTGAGAATAACCACAAACACCTAATGTTACTCCATTGTGTAATCTTACTCCACACGTACTTTTATAGTTACAATTTTCTGATGACATTTTGTTTGAATATTAGTTATCTATAACATTAATTAAAATGAAAGCAGTCGTTTCATAAAAGTATTGTATGGTCCCCATGTACTTCCTAGAGTCTATTGTGTGATACAGAGAATATAATTCCTAGATTTTGTCAGAAGGTTTTGATGACATAAATACTGGTTTTCAGTAGCCTAAATACATTTCTTGGACTCTTACAAAAATTTCTCCCTAAAACCACTCCCCATCTCAACAGCATGAAAATCTTTATTATTATTTTCAATCAGGATCTGCCTCCGTTCCAACCTAATTTATTAAACAAAAATAAGCCTGACCAGAAAAGCTATTTATAAGAATGTGTAAATACCTTTTTTGCTTCTACTTTTGCTAAAACAAATCCTTCATCAAGGGATAGGCAATGAAGAAAGACCTTTAAGGCATCTTCTACAGAACCAGCATTATTAAGTATTGTTGCTCTTCTGAAATATACCTGTAAGATGATATTATGTATTAATATAAGACAAGTTTATTGCGATTGACTTTGCTGTACAAACCTAATCCTAAGCATGTTTTTTTCTGATGCTACTAATACTTCTTGTTACTAGGTTTAAGTTTGTTTTTAAAAATGTTGCTAGATTTGCTGATGCTAAAACTAGAACTAAAATAAACCATAAAGACATGAAGCTAATGGAAAACAATAATATACTACATTACTTATAGAGGAAATATTTCAGTCCAATTTTAAAATATATAATTACATCTGCTTTATTTTATTAAGCATTTAAGAAAATGTAAGGAAAATAAAGCAAGTAGTGGATAGAGTCAATATACAAGAATAGTATTAAATTTTAAATATTTAGTTTTTAATAACAGATTACACGATGTTGTTTTAAAAATTACAAATCAGTGTAAGAATCCAAGTAAAAGAAATATCAACAGCAATAATTAATGCAGATAAATTTTAAAATGACATTAAGTATTACAGCATTAAATATTACAGTAATTGAACACTTTATATTAAGAGAAACCAACATTTGAGATGTGATACAAGCTGTATATAAAGTTATATACACATGGAATACACATGTAATAATGGAATAATACTAATGAATCTTTTCAGTACATCAACTGAGAACCATTTCAGAAACAGGAACTGAACATATACTGTAGGTCTAAGGTTGTATATTTGGACTGTATATATTCTATTCAGTACAGAATAGTAAAACAAGTTTACTCTGTGATATATAAAACTCTAGTTCAGTGGTAGTCAACCTGGTTCCTACCGCCCACTAGTGGGAGTTCCGGCTTTCATGGTGGACATTAGGGGTTTGCTGTAACTCTGCTTTATAAATTTTATAAAGTAAA